AAAGTATGAAGGTATATAATGAGAGAATGGTAAATTGTAAATTGAAAATATAATAAAAATGGAATGAAAGTGTAAAATTATTAATAATCACAACACTATGGATGGTTAGTTTTAACTACTAAAAGATAGATTCACACATTGATTTAATAAAGTCAGTCATCTACTAGCTGAAATACTCTGTTTTAAAAAAAGAAAAAAGAAAATGGAATATTTTAGCATTTTTAGGATAGGTAAAGATAAATCTTAAAAACTGTAGAAAAAAAACAAAGATAGCTTATAATAGCAGTAATACCAGTAAAATATATTTCCATGCTAAATTTGTTTAAAACGAGACAAAGATGGGAGCAGTAACAATCCACCCAGTGATTAATATTCATAAATTTTTGTTGATCATTCTACAACAATTTTTGTTGATCAAACTAGGAGCTCTGCATGAAGTCCATGGCAAACTCAGACACATTGAAAGACCTTGTTTATGTACAGGATCCTGTGAGGTGTTTCAAACCAGCAAGAAAAATATGGAATACAAGGATAAAAGTGCTAGAGCAATGGCTGTCCAAGAAAGTAAAATAAACTTGTTTTCTACTTTCATGAAAAAAAAAAAAACCCAGTTAAGTTGCTACAAATAAACAAGAAAGGATAAACATTAAAAAACGCACTGGGGATTAAGGAAGTGAACTGAGTGGAAGGCTTCCTCAGCAACCCACAGACACAACCCACTGAGGTTCTGCTAATTTGACAATGTCACAATGAAAGCAAAGTGTACTAAGAAGATACCATACAATCAAAGAATTTCTTTGGCAATCAGCATAATTAAAGTAATAGTAAAGTACATTTTTAGCTTAATCTATACTTTAAGGATTTGATAAAAATATATTTCATATCAATACATTTTTTAAAGTTTTATAAATTTATACAAGTATATTTATTCATATCCTTAAGGGAAAAAGACTTTTCTTGCTAGGATACAATACATAAAGACTATACAGAAAAAATATATATGTTAAATATGATTACACACCAGCCGAAATATCCAGCAGCAAAAATGATCACTATCAAATCAAAACGCAAGTAAAAACCTAAGAAAATGTTGGTTTTCACACATTAGAGACTATTTTTGCAATGCAAAAGAAAATTAACTGGAAAACACTAAATGTAATAGTGCAAACAAGAATTTCACAGAAAAATAAACACAGATATGCATGTGCATAGGGAAGGTGTACAGTAGTACTCATTGTAAAAGGGTAGTAGTCAGAGTAGGTAAAATTATATTTCAAGAATAACTAGTAAAAGAAAAGACTGGAAGAGGAGAGGTGGTTGTATTCATTGGAAAACAAATCAGCAGTATGTTTCAAAAATTTGCATCTACACTCTTCAGTCTAAAACACTGCTTCTGGAATTTCCATCATTGATATACTGCAAAAACGTAAAATGAATAATTCAACACAATTTTACTTTTTAATAACAAAAAGAAACAATTGGAAACAACAGAAATGTCCAAAACTGAACATTAAAGTAATCCAAAGAATAAAAGCAACACACAACAAAGTATGAACATGAACCCAATTTTGAAAATAAAATGTATATATTGAACATATGTGCATATATACATACATATTTAGCTTTGTGTTTATGTATATACAGATTTTATATGTGCATATAATATTCTTCTGTATTCACATGTGTGTAGTTTCATTCACTCACTCAGCATACAGAGTTTTAAACAGTATTCTATACATTATTATTGAGTTTTATCTTTGAGGAAAAGTATAGTCCTGTACCACATAGCAACTTTATGGACAGACAGATTGCATATATTATAATGGTCCCATAAAATTAACAAGTCCAAAAACTTCTGCCACCTGGTGATATTGTCATATAGTTGTGCTATGCAATACAGTGTGTGTGGCAATCCTGGTCTAAACATGCCTACTCCACTACCAGATATTTAGAGGTACAATATGCTTAGTTATGTATAGTAAGAATACTCAACAACAATAAATGATGATTTTATTACTGAGTAAAGTAGGTACCTGCTGAGCCATACCTTCTAATCACTATAAAACTGTAGGGGATGTTAGTCCAGGAGCAGCCTCATTTTCTTCTTTATACCCCATCTCTTGATTGTGTCAAGAAGCCATGCCAAGGATTGACTTGTACCATGTCGGTTTGTGTAACTACACTCGATGATATATGCGAAATGATAAGATCTAATGACGCACTGCTAAGAACATATCTCCAATGTTAAGTCACACAGGGCTGTATACCAGGAATAGGAGCTCTGGGGGCTAGGAAATCTTCTGAGTTAGTACTTAAAGTTTAAAGGTGCAAGGGCATATTTTATTTTTACGTACTTTCAAAATAAGCCGCACAGAAGCAGTAATGACCATGTCTTGACATGGAGTCCGACTACATAAAGGACTAGTAGAAACTCGTCAGACCTTGTAAAAAGGAGAAAATTGACAAGAGAAAAAGAAGATGTAGAAATAATTTGGCAAAGAGGATTGTTTTCATCAATGCCAAACAACAAAGCTCCAACAAATGATGGAAATGCCTGTTTTATTGCATGGGAAAAGAATCAGAATGGATGTTTACTGAAGCACAATCCACGCCCAATCTGACTGCAGTGTTCTTATAGAGACACAGAATTTGCTCCTCTCCCCTCACTTCTAATAAATTAGTTTAGAAGATAAACTCAGAGGTCTTGATGGTCCATCTATGGAAGCAATTGAGATGCCTTACAAGGCAAACCGGAGAAGATGAATCTCCATTCAACAACTGTACCTGTCTGGGGGCAGCACCAACCAACCATTCTGCAGGATGGAAATTTTCCACAGAAATTTATAAGCAGTAGATTGGTAATTCATTCCAGTTTTTCTTAATGCATAATTTCATTTTTGGACCATTAGTTCACAGTTTCTGATTTGAGTTGTGCGAAATGGAGAGGTTTGCCCAAAATCCTGGATAAAAGTTAGGAATACAAAGAGCCTATTACTTGCTCTTTTTATCAATAGTACTCATAACAGATATTTTCTAAATCTTTTCTTTCAAATATTTAGATTACTGCTATATGATAGAGTTGTTTTTACTTATACCATTTTGGTCCATAAATGCAAATTTAGTATCAAAATTTATTACTTTGAACCTGTTTTCTTTCTCTCATAGCATTTCATTTCAGCAACTGCATTTAGTTGAAGATTTAAGTTTAATTTGTTGGCATTCCTGCCCAGGATTGATTCAAATAAGCAAGAATATGAACTAAAAATATAGAAACTAATTTACATGCATTCCTCCAAACTGACATTCTACATAGATTCAAAATGAATTTAAAGATACCTTGCACTTTCAGCTCTGACAAGTAAAGAGCTTGGAAGTCATTGTTTCTGTCCTTGGAATGAAAAAAAAGGAAAAAAAAAAAAAACCCTTACAATGACCTGAAAATCAGTGACTATTCTTTTGCCCATCAGATATAGTGATGGCAAACCACTACTTCTAAATCTAGAGAGACCAGTGAATATAGACACTTATCACTGAGACACCTAATCTGCGGCAGGACTGCTAGGAGCTTCAGTTAGCAGATGCGTAGGTAATAACCCTGACAAGTTTCTAGAGGATCCGTGTGCTCTAGAACACAAGCTGGGATCATCTGCGGCCTGTTGTTTTAGGGAAGGCACCCGTCCTTTATCACTTTACCTCCTGGAACCATTCCTACCTTCTCAGAGAAAAGAACAAGAGCAGCAACAAATCATCTCACAGCTTTGCCAGTGTAAGAGGAAAAGGCATGAGTTTGAAGTGCACACAGAGCATTCTGGGTAATAGCTGCCTATGTTACCATGCAAAGGAACTTCCTGTCTCACATCAGAGGAAGAAAAAAGAAATACTTGTGAAAAATAAAACCAAGGAATAGAAGCTGACAAAAAGAATGAGGTATAATCATAAATTTATGGAAAAATTCCCTTCCCTGAGATCAATAGGGCTCTCCTACAGCAGCAACAGGCTACAGCTTAAATAGTAGTATGTTATAGATGCTGTTGTGATCTCTCTGGAAAATCCCAAAGTACAAGTACAGACAAAAAATAAACAAAAAAAGAAAACAAACATTAGAGGATTTCAAAG